TCGCAGGCTCCCTCCATCACGTCCCGGATCCTCATAAATTCCCCCCCAATGGAGTCGTGGGACCCGGTTACGGGCCCCGCTTCGTCCCAGTTGGCCGCGCAGATGGCGGCCACAAATTTGTCGCGGTCGAGCGAGGTTAGCGCCCACCTTGGCGGTCGGGTCGCCTCGCTGCTGCGCCTTGCGAGCACCTCCCGCGGGGCGACGACGAGGCGGAGCTCTATGTACCGGTGATCGGTTCCGGTCTTCGCCTCAGTCGCCACCCTCCATCCCTAAACCTGTCGGGCGGGCCCGGGGGAGGTCCACGTCAGATCGACGATGGACTCCCCCTGCCACCCGACGAAGGTGCTCTCCCGGCCTCTGTTTTGCAGACTGAGGCCGGTAGACGCAGCCCACTCCTGGAGGTCCGCGCCGCGGGGGGACGTCCCCGCGGAGCCCCACAACGTGTTGTGGGCATTGAAGTCCCCGGAGACAATGACCGGCCTGGGGAGGCGCCTCATTATGAGCGCCTCCAGCCGGTCCAACAGTCCCCTGAATTCAGCGCGGGTCCAGGAGGGTTGAGCATAACATCCGACCACATCTGTGGGCCCCCACTCGACCGCAACGTAGCCGGCCCCCTCCCCTCGACATGCCATATTGGGGGGGAATCACGGCCAGGCCGTCCGAAAATTGTCACCGAGCACCTACTCCTCTGGTCCCGGGCGTCTCCTAGTATGGAGGACGATTGCTCCGGGACCGAATAGGGCTCGGCGGCGACCCCAATCCCAGCACCGCGCTCGCGCAGCCCCTGGACGAACAGATCCTGGGCCGCCCGAGCGCGGCGCAAGTTGGCCTGGAGGAGAAGTGTACCTATTGTGGTGGTACACCCTCCCTGTCCTCCAGGCCAACTCCCGCAGTTTCTGCGGGCTTCATGATGGGGGAGCGGGACCTGCTGCCCCCGCTCCCCTCACTCTCAGCCCCCCCTTGCCACCACTCCCCCTCCCAGCCCTTCGTCGAGGTCTACTTGACCTCTGGGGAAGTGGTGGCTCGAACTCCTCCCCCCTGTTGGGGAGGGACCTGTCCCTTCTAGGGGCAGGGGAGGCGCGCACTGCCGCTGGCGTCCCCCCCGCACCTTCGTAATGGGTCCTCCCACCCCCTTAGTGGGGGAGGCCCGCCCTTTCCCTTTTTGGGGGGCTGAGGGGGGGCAGTGCCCGACCCCCCACCCCTTTTCTCCCCATTGGGCAGAGGGAAGTGCCCATGCGATGGCCACAGGGCTTTTTGGCGTCGCGGTAGACAGGGCATTCTACCTGTCCGCCGCATTCCGCCGCCCTGTGGCCATCCCGACCGCAGCGGTAACAAAGCCCGCTGCGGTCTACCACCGACGTGCATGTTGCCCTCACGTGGCCCCGCTGCATGCATCTGTAGCATTGCAGCGGGCGCCTCGCGAGGGCCTCCACACGGACGGTGGTCCACCCCACACGGAGGCGGCCACCGTCCAAACTTTCTTGGCCGAGGTCAACGGGCACTGCACCCACATGGTGCCCAGCCCGTTGGCCCCGGCGCGAACTGCCCCGACCTTCACATCTTCGGGCCCGCATCCCCCAGACGACACGATGGCGGTAACGACATCTTCCATCGTCACCGCGTCGTACAGGTCGCGGACCCGAAGCTCGGTCTTCTTCGCCAGGCGCGCGATGCGCACTTCTTTCTCCTCGGCAAATAGGCTCCTCATTCTGCCGGCAAGCGCGTCGGCCTTTGCGTGACCCTCCGGGCCGGAGACCTCCAACACCAGGGCGCCGGTTGCCGCCCTTTTGGTGCGGAGATCCCCGATCCCGAGGTCCGCCAAATCTATCTCCCCCCTCGCCCGGCGCATCACCTCGGCGTACGTGCCCGCTGGGCACGTCACCGACACAGCGGCCGAGCGAGGAGGTTTAGGGAGGGACGGAGGAGGCTTTGTGCCTCCCCGTTTGCCGTCCACTCTTTGACCTTCCGTGCCCCGGGCCGGCACGCGCTGTCGTCGTCTCTCGACCCCCGAGGCCGCGCGGGGCACCACCGGGGGGTCCCTTTCTGCCCCCCACTCCTCCCTTCTTTCTCCCCACCACCGTGGCCCACGTCTCCTTGGTCGGGCCATCGGTGTGGGGAGCGACCGCCCACAGGAGAGCGCCGCCAAGGTCCCGCGGCGGTTCCTCCTTGTGAGGGCCGGTAGTTTCACGGCAGGGGGGCGGTGCTCGTCCTTCCCTCACATTCCCGCCCCGTGTGGTCTTCTTCTTCTTCCCCTTCTTCCTCTTCTTGGAAGAAGAGGACGTTTTCGTCCCCCCCCCCCCTGTCAGGCTCCGGCGCCTTGGCCGTGGGGGGGTCAGGGACAGCCGTACGTCGGTTCCCCCCCGAAGGCGTCCGCGCCGGAGACTGTGCGTCCGGCCCGCGCCGCATCCGGCGGGCATATCCTAGACGCGCCAGGATTCGGGGAATCGCCACTTCCAGTAACAACTCGAGGGCAGTGCCCTCCTCCTCCCCGATATCCAGGCGCGTCCCGCCACAACCCACAAGGGGGGGCCACCGCTGTTGTTGCGGCCGTTGCCGCTGT